CACCCAAAAGCAGGAAACCCCGTGTTAACGCACATCCCCTCGGCCCGGAACTCCAAGCCGTGAGATTTGCGCGGCAGACACAAAAAAGATCCCTTGGCCTGGAGAAGACTTTAGGTAACGTAGTAGTCGTAGTGCTGCATCAAGATGCGGCTGATGGGGTTGATGCATGAAGCGGCTCAAGATGTGAACAGAAAAAGCAATGTCAGGTCGGGTTACCGTAAGGTATATAAGTCAACCAACTAATCGACGATACTTGGTGGCATCTTTCAGCGGCTTGCCTTCATCAGGCCTAAGTCTCAATGTTTGTTCCATGGGAAAAGGTGAGGGTCGGGCACCTAGCAACCCGGCATCATCCAATATCTCCAGTGCATATTTTCGTTGTGAAATAAAAATTCCCTTCTTTGATCGTGCAACTTCGATACCCAAGAAGTATTTGAAAGGTCCCAAATCCTTGATGCGAAAGCGAACATTGAGGAAGTCTTTGAGTGACTGGATAGCTTTAGGATCATCCCCTGTAATCACAATATCATCTACATAGATCAATAGTGCAGTAAATGAATTATTTTGAGACCTTGTGAATAAGGAGTAATCGGCTAGGGACTGAACAAAACCAGCTGCACGTAGGGCTGTAGTAAACTTTGCAAACCAATTACGAGAGGCTTGTTTCAGACCGTACAGAGATTTGTGTAGCCGACATACCAAATTCTCCCCCTGTCGGCTAAAACCGGGCGGGAGAGTCATGTAAACCTCCTCATCCAAATCGCCATGGAGGAAGGCGTTTTGAACGTCGAGCTGACGTAAGGGCCAATTACGGACGGCGGCAAGAGCAAGAAGATAGCGGAATGTAACCAGCTTGGCAGTGGGAGAAAAAGTCTCGGTATAGTCAAGCCCCTCCTGTTGAGTGTAGCCTTTGGCTACAAGTCGCGCCTTGTAGCGTTCGACAGAGCCGTTAGAGTGGTACTTCACCTTGTAGACCCATTTGCAGCCAATGGGATGCTTTCCTGCAGGTAAAGAGGTAAGAGACCATGTGTGATTTTGCTCAAGTGCCTGGAGTTCCTTTGCCATGGCATCGCACCAAAGAGGGTCAGTGGAAGCCTGGGCATAAGTAGTGGGCTCTATGATTTTGGAGATGGCTGCAACAAAAGTGCGGTGAGTAGAAGACAAGTGATCATAAGTGAGAAAATGGGACAATGGATACCTGGAACCCTTACCCGATGTGGAGGAAGAAGAAGACTGGGCAGGGGTAGGCAGCATGGTAGCATTGCAGTGAAAGTCGCGTAGAAGGATGGAAGGTTGAGGAATACGGTGAGAGCGACGAAGAGGAGGTGGAGAAGGAGGAGAGGGCGGCAATGAGGTAGGAGGAGATGGCATAGTGGGACTATTTTGATGCATGGTAGGGGAGGATGGTGAAGGAAGTGTGGTGTCGTGAGGGGATTGAGAAAAAGAAGGGTCGGTGAGGTCACCTGGGGTGGTGTGTGGGGTATCTAGAGGAGGTGGAATAGGTGGGTCAGAAAGTGGTGTGGGTATGGGCGGGTCATGATTGGCAGAAAGTGGAGTGGGCCAGGACATAGGCATATGAGGGACCGTATGTGGGCTTGAAGTGGAAGGAGACGTAGGGAGGATGGGGATGGTGGTTGTGTGTGGAGCAGCAAAAGGAAAAATATTTTCATGAAAAATAACATCGCGGCTGCTAAAGAATTTGTGAGTGTCAAGATCATAAAGACGATACGCCTTTTGCCCAAAAGGATAGCCAACGAAGATGCATTTTCGAGCTCGTGGGTCAAATTTATTGGTGGGTTGAAGGTTAGTGGCGTAACATAGACAACCAAAGACGCGAAGGTGATGATATGGTGGTGGATGGCCAAAGAGGAGTTCGTAAGGGGTTTTATCGGTCAAAATGGCGGTGGGTAAGCGGTTAATGAGGTAGGCTGCGGTGAGAACACACTCCCCCCAAAATTTGGAAGGGAGGTGTGCATGAAAGCGAAGGGCACGAGCCATTTCTAAGAGATGTCGGTGTTTTCGTTCAACAACACCATTTTGCTGGGGTGGGTAAGTACAAGTGTGTTGATAGAGAACACCAAGATCTGCAAAGAAAGTTTGAAGCGAGGAAAACTCTCCTCCACTGTCCACACGGATAGCTTTGATTTGTTTATTAAATTGTGTGGACACAAAGGAAAAAAAAGATTTTAGCAGATTTTGTGTTTCAGATTTCAGTTTCATCAAATAAATCCATGTGGTACGAGAGAAATCATCAACAATAGTTAAAAAATATCGGGCACCAGAATGAGAGGCAATCTTATGTGGACCCCAGATGTCACAGTGAATTAAATCGAAAGGTGCAATACTTTTTATTGAACTGGAAGGAAAAGGTAGCCTAGTCTGTTTGGCCAAAGGACAAAAATCACAAACATGCGTAGGAAGTGAAATATCAGAAAAATGTTTCGACAAAGAGCGAAGTTTGGCATTGGAAGGGTGTCCTAATCGGAGATGCCAGAGGTTGCGGGAAGCCGACACATGATATGTGGAGGAAGAATGGAGCTGCGGAGCAGGGCGTTGTGGATCAAAATAGTACAGGTTTCCATGCCTCTTACCCAACCCAATCATCTTCTTCGTGTGCAAGTCCTGTATATAACAAAAGGTGGGAAAAAAACAAACACAACAATTTAGTGATGCGGTAAGGCGAGGGACAGACAATAAATTAACATTGAAAGAAGGGACGCATAAGACATCTGTAAGACGAAAAATATCATCAAAGTTAACGGTGCCTATAGATGTGATAGGTGCTTTTTCCCCTATGGGTAATCCTACTGGTGGAAGATGTGTTGGTGAATTTTCGGTTAGGAGTGCTTGAGAATTGGTGATATGGTCTGTTGCACCACTATCTATAACCCAGGCATGCGATAAATAAGAATTAGTTTGGGAACTGAGGCAAAAAGGATAATTCAGACCTGCAAAATTCGCTTGGGATTGGGAAACTTCCTCCTTACCAACAGTACCAAGAATTTGCTAACATTGCTCGAGTGTGAGATGAGGAGCTATGGTCTGTAGGTGATGAATCTGTGCATCTGGACTTTGAACGTTATTCACGTTGGTATATTGTCGGTTGCTTCCATGAGATGGGCGGTTATGTGAAGAGTGACCGCTGTCATCGAGTTTGGGTACCACCTCCTTGCCGTGCCACTTGTGCCCTGGAGGAAAACCTTTGAGAAAAAAACAAGTATCGATTGTATGAGTTTTACTATTGCAATAAGTGCATTGTTTCGGTTCTCTAGGATTTCCACGAGGTTGAAAGGATGGGCTGATGTTGGATGACGAAGGCCGCTGTTGAAAGCCTTGCTTGCTGGTATTGCCTTTCTTAGTGTGTATACTGAGCATTGCCATGCTCTCGTTGTTGGCTGTGTTGTTGTGGGTGGAAGCAACTTGCCGCTGCTTCTCTTCTTGCAAAAGGAGGTTGTATGCCTTACGGGCAGTGGGCAAAGGTTGCATAAGCAATATCTGTCCTCTAATGGCTGCATAGGATTCATGGAGCCCCATCAGAAGTTGCATTAAATGTTGCTCCTCCTCTCGCGCTGCAATGGATTTCAAAACCCCACAAGTGCAGGGTTCCATGTTGTTGTAGGATGACAGTTCATCCCAATACCCCTTGAGTTTCGAATAGTACGTGGATAAGGGCATTTGATCTTGTGTAAGAGTAGCTATTTCCTTGTGAATCTGGAAAACCCTAGGTGCGAATCTCTCTTCAAGGTCTGTCCAAATTTCGTGGGCTGAGTCGGTGTAGATCACACTATTCGCAAGATCTGGTTCCAATGAGTTCAAGATCCAAGATAAGACCATGTCGTTACAACGCCGCCACCTATCAAATTCTGGCTTCGCTTTCAACGGCTTCTTGATTGAACCATCGAGGAAGCCTGTCTTATTCTTCGCGCTCAAGGCTAGTCGAAACTGGCGGCTCTAAGTGCTATAGTTATCTCCGAATAATGGCTTGCTGACCAAGACCATTCCAGGATGATCAGATTGGTGAATATAATATGGGTGATCAAGGTTTGAAAATTCCCCATCTGTGGAGGATTTCGAGTTGTCGTCGTCTTTGGCCATGGTAGGCTATAAGGTGGTGAGCGGAAGTATAGAGACCGTCTGAAGCTCTGTTACCATGTAAAATCTGGTATAAGGAATTCTATATTCCGTTGTTATTACATACAATATGTGCAGGTACATATATAGGGATTGATACAACAATATAGATCCCACAATTATGCAGTTAGCCAAACTAGGACCCTAAACACCAGGCCACCCTATCTCTAAACTAGGAAAGAATCAATTACAATATTCCCAAATATCAATTGGAATAAACCCATATCTGGGAGCGGATCCGCTGTCCCCAAATTGGTGTCCCCTCCATGTCCCCTCTCTAATTTGCTGACACGTGTCAACTAACATAACAGGGAGTTAACTCTGTTACCTTTTTTATTTGACAATTTTAACAATTAAAAAAAATTAAAAGCTGCCCAAATAACCCAGCAGCTAACGACTTCCTTGCTAAACCCAGCGAGCGTCTGTCTTCTCTTCTCCAATTGCAGCCAACCCAGCAGCCAGCGAGTGTCGTCTTCCTTGCAAAACCCAGCCATACCCTCTCTCCTCCCTCAGAATCTCTGCATCTTCTCCACCATCAACTCTCAAACACTTGCAAAACCCAATTCTCCTCCCTCCTAATCTCTGTTTGGAAATTGCAGCACCATTTTTCTCAAACCTTCAACTTCATTTGCATTGCACCAGCAGTCCAGTCCCCTTGTCGACGTTCTACCTCCATAGGCCGACTCCACTATTTCCTTCATTGGCCAGTCTAAGAAGCTTGGCGTCACCTGTAAGTTGTGCTAAATTAATTTGATTAGGCATGACTGAAATTTTGGGGTTTTTCATGTGTTTGGCTATCTTCGAAGAATTTGTGAATTAAATGGTTAATTGGAGTTGAATCTACTGCTGTTATGACATAGAGATTTAGTTATTTGGAGTTTAACGATATTCACGAGGTGATGGTTTTGCTCTGTCACCAACAACCTTCAAGAGGCAGAGGACCCATCACCTTGGATGGTTTTCTCATGCTTTTTCACAGCTTCCCATACCAACAAGCTTTGATCGTCAAAAACACCAGTTTAATGACTCTGCCTCTTCTTCCAGAATGACTAGCTTAGGTGTTGTGGAATTTTGGAGGTTGTCAGGATAACAGGATCTGGATATCCTACTAGAATGACACATCAAGAGTTTGCAGGAATGTTTGTATAATAGGTTCAGTTGTATCAGTGTTTTTGGGTCTGAAGAAGTTGGATGCACTGAAAAATCTCAATCTGCAAGGGAATCCTATTGTTGAAAAGGATAAATTAGCAAAGAAGGTATTGGTTACTGTCCTAGCCTTTTTCTTGTTTGGATCTCTATCTTGACTCCAGTTTTACCCTTGTTAAAAATTCTTATAGAAACAATGTTACTGTAGGTTAAAAGAATATTGCCGAACCTGCACGTATTCAATGCAAGACCAATAGATAAATACACCAAGAATGAAAAGGGTGTTGGAGTTGATGAAGTTGATGATTCTTCACTTAATGCTGCTAACAAGCAAGAAAGTCAAACAGAAAAGCGAAAAGATAGAGACTTAAAACATCTTATGATGGCTGGAACTAAGGGTGGTATTGTTAAGCCTGGAAACTCTAGTGATTCTGATACGAAGAAATTGAAACCGAAAAAGCAGAAACCAGATGGCAATGTCTCAAACCACGAAGTTTTGGTCTAGGGGGATGAAAAAAGTGATCATGTCAAGAAAAAGAGCTACAAACATCAGGTGTTAAATGAAAATGATCCTAGTAATCTTCAAAAAGCTGGGGATTTGGAGAAGGAATCACAGAAAAAGAAGCAGAAAAAGAATCCACTCCATACAGAAGATAATACCAAGGTTGGGAAAAAACTAGAGAAAGCAAAGGTGAAACAACAAGGTGAACTTGTCAAGTATGATTTTTCCCACTTAAAAGATGCAAACAAAATGGCTGAAAATGAAACATTGGCTTGGCTGCTATATTTTGGCTTGGTGGTTGTGGATTCATGGTTTAAATGTTTAGTACGCATTGTGATCAAGGAGGGTTTTGGACTGCAGAGGTAATGTTGAACTTCATGCTCAACAATTGTGGTAAAACCAACCAAGAAATACTGTTATGATATTATACCATCAAGTGCAAAATGGAAATGTACTTAAATTGTTCAATTCAGGCCCATTTTTAG